CACCTCTGAGAGCAGAGCTTCGTACCAACGCTCTCGCCTTTTCTGTTAGCGGAACTTTAGATCTGAGAGTCGACAACAGAACACCTCCACTCCACAGACACGTATACGCGCTAACAAAGCCAGACACTAATCATCTGGTAAGAATTATCTGCGGCTGCTCTTATTTCTAGCTGCACACACTTAGAAACAATACATTTCAGCGCATCCAGGCGCAAATTAGGAGCAGCGTTGATTCCTAAACAGATCTGACAAACCGGAGGATAGTTGTTGTGCAGCACCTGCATCAGTCTTATTGGATTTGAAAGCTGAGTTTTACACTGATTTCAGTATTAGTGTAAATATTACACTAACAGATGACAGGAAAACTGAAACAAAAACTTCCCTCAGATGAGGAACGTTGTCAGATTCCAAAGGTTGAAGACAATAAATCATTAAACCCTTAATCTGCCTTAAACAAAAACAATTGAACTACAACCACAAGAAAATTCATATGAGGCCAAGATTAAAAAAAAAAAGACATTATTTCTGACATACAAAAAAGTCTAAAGTTAAAAAGTCTTAACAAATGTTTAAATGTAGAACCAGTCGTCTGTTTGTAAATTTAAAAGGATGATTGTACATTGTGTTTGTATGAGAAGTCGAAACTGACGGTGGGTTTTGTCAGTGTGGTCAGTGGGACTAATCTCTGGTCAGAGAATGACCTCAGTTCATTCTGGGTCACTGCACACTGACCCTCGTTCTGAGGCCTGGGACCTCAATAAGTCAGGCTGCGTTGATGCTCACAAAGGACGTAACAACTAACCAATATTGACACAGAGCCTAAACTCCCTCCTCTGTGGGACTATAACTGGTGCCCACTCCCACTGGAGGAGGGGCGTAGACCCCTTTCTTCAGTGTGGTCAGGAGAGTTGAACGTGACCAAGGCTGTGATGAACTGATGAAATCATCAGATGGTTGAACCTACTGGACTTCCTCCTCATCGTCATATATCGTATCCTGTTCAAACTTCAGTTCAAACTTGAACTTTGATGTGAGTTTTTCCCCAGGTTTTATTGCCTGCTAATGTCCGTTAACGTTCCAGTACAAGGTTTTTGTCGTCACCGTTCCATATCATACTACACTATACACTATTAGTGATGGCTTGATACAACTTTTTCATGTCAACATTACAAACATCAATGAGATCATCGACGTGAAGGAGAGTAATCACCGCGTGCTACCAGGAGGACTCTGGGTCAATGGGCAGAAAACGTAGACAGTTGTTCTGACATGTGAGGAACGTTGCCTCACACACACTGTCCCCCTCCTCTTTTCTCACCTCCATCTGACTGAACCACTTTGTCCAACAGTAGGAGTCAGGGAGGACCCTCATCAGCTCCCCAGGTTATAATCACACATAGAAGGAGGAATGGAGGAACAGTGAGATGTTCAGCTGGGTTAGGTCTGATGCTAATGTTCATTTAAAATAGTGACAGGCTGGAAAAGTGCAGCGTGAGTTAGGCCGGCTAATTTCTCCCTGGAATAGCTCACAGCCGACCTCTGTGCCACATCCAAACTCTCTGGAGTTCAATTAAAATTGGATTAGGTGGAGATGCTGCTAGATATGCAACGCAGCATCTCCACTGTGGTTCGACATTATACTCCTCCTACTGATGCCCCGACTTGACACCTCTTCTCAGCCCTCCACCCCACAACTCAAACAGTTGTCATAGAGACA